CTGATAAAAAGACCAAGTTGCGACGAGATCAACCTACTTCTATAAATCGAAGGAGAATGTTACCATACCAGAGGCAACAACATCTTGATCTTCATATCTTCAGCATATACGAAGGTTAAACGTATAACTCAAGAGTTAATTGATAAACCTGGACCCAGTCCATCAACCAAAAAGTACGTGAAGAATAATACAATGAAATTCAAGAACCCGCATCTCAAGAAAAGTTTATTTTCAGGAGCTCTAGTTTTGCCTCTAAGGCAAAATGGACTAATATAAAAAGTACTGCAATTCAAGTAATAAACTAGTCTTCTGGTGAGAATGACTTACACTTAGCCGACACTGAACAGTGCGAGATGGGTAGGGAATAAAGCAACTAAGAAGCACAAGCAAGGTAACAAATAAACGACTAATTTGGAAACATTGATATCGAACCTTTACCGCAATGCAGAGCAAAAGTAACAAAGCGGTAAGACAAATGAATGATAAAAATAGCGCGCTAATTTGGTATAATAAGTGTCATATTACATGTAAACTCTGCTTAAAAAAGCAGAATTTTGTAAAGCATCAATATATCAGTTGATACGAAGCTGGTGTAACAATGTTGGCGAAGGAATGACAAGTCATAGTGGAGTCGAGCTAAGGGAGTAAATTTTATATCCATTTGTGCAGAGGTCACTGCATAGTAGTATTAAACGATGCAATAAGCAATAACATAGTGAAGAGAAATGAGGGAAACGATGCACTCGATTGTATTACAGAATATAATAAAAAGTGGACATATCACAAGAACAGCTAACGCGAAATATAACTCACTTTTGACGTTCCGCTTTGTAGTTATTGGTTAGTTCATCGAAAAGGTATTCATTCATTTCCATAAGGGTCTTGAGGACATTGTATATAAGGGAGACAATATTTTGGTTCCAATGTTCTCTCGAGATCCTATAGAGTGAGGGGAAAAGTACTGGCAAGAGGACCTGGTTGTTCTCCTCAATCAACGAAACAATATACTCATTATTCCAATAGTAAAGCGCGCGTTCAGCAACCTTAAATCAAACAATTCAAGTGAAATTAAAAACTCACCTGGAAATGAGAGCTTGATACAGACTTGGCTATTTGCTTGAAAAGAGGAACCATAATTTTTCCAAATTGTTGGGGTTCAATAATGTCAAGAACTTCTTCTATCTCACCAAGAAACATCACTTCCTTTTGCGAATAGGTTTTTGGCCAAAACTTAAGAAGCCCCAAGACAACCTGTTCGGTTAATGATGGATCCTTTTCAAGGAATTGGACGACACAATAGGCAAGCTGTAAAGTACGGATTAGTATTAAATACATTTAAATAGTATAAATGGAAGGTTAGGGGCTACCAAACCTGAGCGTGGAAGAATCCGAGAGACCTAGCTTTGTGCAGAGGAATTAGAACTTTGGCGAGAAAACGAGTGTGCTCTGCCTTAAGGGGGAGAGCGAAGCCATTGATGATACTTCCTAAGATTTCGAGCAACTCACCAACTCCATTAAACATTTCGGTCTCGTATATAAACCTTGGGTATTAACAGCAAATTAAGACAAACCTCAGGAATATATTATTTATCTGTTTCCGTATGAAAGATCTGAGCCCAAGAAATTTACCATAAATTCGATGCACGACAGTTTTGAGCAAATCACGCTCCCTAGGATCTTCACTATCGAAAAGTTCTAGCAACTGAAGTACAAATTTCTGATCAATATATTTCTTTGCAATACTGGGTTGGAATTCAGAAGATTCAAGGACTCTGAGGAAGAATTCATAGACATACTAGGAAATTAATTTATAAATCACTAACCAGAAGATGTGGCCAAGCTGCTTCAAGGACAGGATCATCTTCTTCGGGGTCGAAATCAGGATTGTCACTTGGAGGCAAAGTCCTGAATATATTACATGCAATCTGAAAGATAAAGGATCAAATGGAGGTCTCACCATGGTAACAATGTAATGGTAGGTGTTATCTTGCAAGACGCCGCGGGTGACAGTCACGTAATCTACTAATTCATTTAGACAAGAGCGTTTAATCTCTTTGCTGCCCATATCGCTAATTGGATCAGAGAAATCGAAGACAACACAGCACTGTTGCAGTTTTTTTATAAAAAGGTCCTGTTGCTCTGTTGGCGAGGCATCTGGCAAATGTGATTGTGGAATAGAATACCTTTATTAAGAGGAGGGAGCTGCACTAACTCCGTGGGGGCTTTAGGTCTGTAATGAGAAGAGCCCTGGGTCCTCTTTTGTTTTTTGACTTTAATTTCATTCTTGACACGAAATGGGTCAAGACGAGGTTCTTTGGACATTTTATGAAAATTTGAGAATAGTTATACAAGTGGTGTCGGTAAATGTTCTAAGAAGTCTGATGAGGTAAGAAAAAACATACAATTTATGATAGTCGAGGTAGAGGGAAAAAGAAGCACAAGGACGTAAAGAGACCCAGGTCGCATGAAACGAAGACTACTCAAATAGAGAAAACGCAAGAGCTAGAGGGAGTCATAATATGATTTCCGAAAGTTTAGGAGATTAAAACAACTAAAAGCGACCTTAGTAAGCATAAATTTACTAATGACATTATATATAATGGTATTTATTTAATTATAAGGCATTGAAAAAGCAAGCAAATTTTTACACTAATTATAATTTCTCTTTCTATGTAAAGTAGTTTTTTCCAATGCTTAACATTGATTATAGGTGTATTTCACTTAAATTTGGTCATATATTGCTATTTTAATAAAATGACGTAGTGAAAATAAATTAGCATTTTGTATATAATAACTGTTGGTGATAATTATGTAGAATGGCATGGTTCATTTGCATAAGTTCTGTATTCACCTTAGGTCTCTTGAATTTATAAAGGATAACAAACATTTTAACAATTATATAAGCAGGGTTCATGATGCTATTGAAATTTCCTTAACCTCACCTAGAAAAATTTATTAATATCCAGAATTGACTAATGTTTCGATCTCTTATGACGCTGCCTCAACAACTCTAATGGAATTTGGCTCTGGCCAGTCCCAAATAGTCTCAATAGGTTACCACTCCGCCACACTGCCACAAGTCCCCCTGGATCGACGGGCAGCTTTGCATTTCAAGTAAAGCTAGGCTTTTTTCTTATCAAATCTTTTGATGGAATTACCAAAGAAAAAATCTAGTACTTGCTATTTTGATCAGCTGCGTTTTTTATCTATATATAGTAGGTTTCAAAAGTACTGGTAGATCTTGAATAAGACCTCTATTAACCAAGTGGAAAAATTCATCTATAATTCCTTAATCACCTTATGCAACTTGGAGTGAATACTAATCCTACTTAAGAAATAATAGTAGTTTCGAAACCTAGTATATAAGTATTAACCCAAAATAGAAGTGTGATAAGGAAAGACCTGGCCTTATTTGCAAGTAACATCTGACATATGACCCAGGAGTACTGGCGGCAGTGTGACGTAGTGGTAACCTTTCGAGATAGTTGGCAGCACCAACTGGGTTCAAATATCCCTAGGGTTGAAGATGAGGCTCAGGCAGTCGAAAATGCAGTCGATTCGGAATTAAAATACCTTTGCGTGGCATGGCTAAGTGAACTACGGTGGTATTGTGAGGCCAACCATTATCATTTTGATAAGCTTCAACATTCAGCTCTTTAGTACTTTGTGCTATCTAGGCTGAATTATGTTTTTTTTTCTTTCTAGACTTACTATACATAAATAAAAAGCTTGGCTTACCTACTTGCCTCTCAAAGTTTTAATTGTGCTGCTGACCATAATCTAAAATAATACACAGACCTTAATAAATTTAGTGATTAAATCTCTAGCACTTTCATCATTTAAACCTGTAATAATTACTCAAAGAAGAAATACTTAAATTTTTTAGCGCCTTTATTTCATCACTGTAAATCTTATTTTTATCGTTTTGCCTAATACCGCCCTCCTTCCATTTTTATCGGAGTATTTGAGGTGCTTTACTCAATAATGCTACCATTAATATATCCCAACCTGTAAATGCATCCAATTATTGCGAATATCACCAACGATGTAGATAGTCCATCAGAGAAAAATGGATACGATGCGAAATTTTCAATGAAAAGTATGAAATTTCCTCCCCGTTTAATTTAGAATTAAAAATATCGTAATGACCATGAGATGTTTACAAGTTCCCTGATAAAAGAGTGGTAGTTGGCGATTAGTAAAGGTCCATAACGTAAAATAAGGGGACGATTGATCACTATATAATGTATAAGGTGATTTAAAGACTAATAACAGAGTTCTCCCATGATGGAAACACAATAGCATTAAGTTTCATTTAGCCTTGCTTCCTAAAAGAAATTTTCATCCAGATTGGAATTCGATATCGGGCCTTTAGTATCGTGGCGATATTACCACTCCACTCCACCACATGACCACTAGTACTAATTGGGCAAAGGCAGAAACATAATTTAACGAAAGCCAGGCTTTGATTAAGAAGATATTTGCTTGCCTTTTCAATCAAGGCGTTACTTATTTTTGAGACAATCATTACTTCTTGAGTAAAAATGGCGAATTGTTCTTAGCCTTGCTTCCGCAAAGCTAATCTTATCAAGAGTGGACTGTGGTTTATACCTCTGATAGGTCTCATCAGCACTGTCACCCACTAGCATCAGAGGCCATGTAGTGCAGTAGAGTGGTAATATCCTAACGATACATATGACTAAACGTCGAATCTCACTAGGGCTCTTAATGAGACATGGGCGGTGTCTCCTAAACGAGATCAGAGTTCTTATGTTATAAATCATATAAGGGGGTGACTTGGTATGTCGCATACCTAAATGGAAAAAACTTTGTCTTCTTGAAGGGGCTTGAATACACTTAGGACATACTACTTCCCTATAAAACAGCTAATTTACCAACCTACAATATCGGATGTATCCAAAGTCAAAAATTAAACATAAATACATACACATAT